AGCGAGCAACAACAATCCACCAGACTAGCTAGCCAAAGAGAACCACTTCACCTGCGGTCAGAATCGTGCAGGCAGGCCCTAATTTCCCTTGTGTCGTGGCTCTATCATTCTCTGTTCCCCCCCCCCCCCCCATGAAAAACACATATATCCAGGTGCTCTAGATATTGACCATATGTCACCAATCCAGCATAATGAGAATCATCTCAATGTTCATCGGGGATACTATATGTTCCCTTGCTATGCCTAATCTAATTCATGTGCAAGGCATGATCTCTGTCTGCTAAAAATCTGCCAGGAAATAATCACCTCTGCCAGAATAATAGTCATGCCTCGCACATTCATGACAAAGTAGAACGGTACCGGTTCATTTCCTTAACATGGCTATTCTTCACGTCATCACCTAATTGCAAATAGTTGGGCTTCAGAAGACTGAACAAAGGTCTGGGAATGACATCTCGCGTGTTCAGTGGTTTCCAATGTCTAATAACTTGATTTAGACCATGAGTTTCAGCCAGATTCCAGTAACATCATCGCCTGTGGTCCTATTTGATGTATTTGATCTATTCTGTTCTTTCATAGTACTCATCATTTGTTAGTTGACGCTTTACGTGAAAAATTTGTGAACACTACTACAGAAAAGTTCCAGAAATCCAATTTAAAGCTGCTTAAAGTTGTTTTCTGGGTTTAAAATATTTGTCTTTTGTGGATGGAGACCACAAAAAAAAACATTTCCATCAGCTGTGGATGACAGCAAACCCTTTGCTTTTAAAACTGAGATTTCGATCGTTATTATACAGCACGCAGGGGTGGCGCTCTTAGGGTGAACTTTACACAGACAGTCATCATCTGGAATGCAGATGCTAACGCAGAATCTGCATTTGGAATTCATCTGGCGGGGTGTTTTTTTTTTTCCGAAGTGCCTTTAATGACATAGAGGAACAGCTCTGTGGAAGTGACCTTCCTCACCAGCGAAGCCAAGCTTTTAGTGGCAAGGGAGGTTCAGCCGAAGCCATAACATGAAGAATCCAGGAAAACAGCGAACTGCAGGCCGGGGGGGGAAAGCACGTTTCCTCTCTGTATCCGTCTGTTTTGATAGCCGTATTGTTAGTGGGTGTCTCATTGTCCTGAAGGCATCTGGCAGCGCTGGGCTATTGTGCCACGGCTGCGTCACATTCGTAGGTTTCCTCCAGAACGGCGTGTTTTATGTCCCCGGCGCGATTCTCCAGTGACAGCACCAGCTAAGCACATGTTACGCTCTTTGAAGGGTCAATAGCCAAACTGCTCTCAGATTTCACACACTATAAATAGCTTACGTTCTGCAGGTCTTCTGGAAAACAGAATCGGCATCACGTTTAGCAGGATGGGGGGGGGGTACATATAAATACTTAAAGTGTCGACAGATGCATAAGTAAAATGTCTGAGAAGACCACAAATGCACCTGCGTCGACCAACGAAGCCCAATCACCGAGCTCACGCGAGTGCGGACAAAATGGCGCAGCTTCCCCCCCCCCGACAAGCAAGGCCGCCGCTGGAGGCTGTCTCCATCTCTGGGCCGCTCATTAGCGGTCCCCGAAAAGCCTCCTTCCGTCCTGGGTCCCGCCGTGACGCTTCCCCTCAGCAGATCCGCTCGCTCTTCCGGGCGACTCGTGGGACACGACTGATGCTTCTGGACTGGAAATGGAGATCCCCGGTGGGCGATCTGCGGGTTCGAGAAACGTCATGCGGGAAGTGCAGAGTGGTGGTCGTGTAATGAGAGGCCAGACCGTGAGCTGGAACCAGTCTCCTCAAAGAGGAACCATGCGGTTATCCCGGCTCCACATGCAGCCCAGGGGCCATTCTAGGATTTTTTAAGCTGGGGGGGGCATAACAAGAACTATAAGTGATACAGAAGGGCCAGCCTTACTGTTAGATAATGATATGTTTAGAATCGGTGAGTGACAGGGCTGAGGGGACCCTGGAGACCAATCAGCTTTCAGGTGGGGCCAGTGTCCTTGTGGCCCCGCCCCTACCCCTGACAGAGACAAGCGGGCACTTATATGGGCAGACTGGGAGCAGGGTGACGCATGGGGGCAGCTGACCTCACAACCTCTGAATAACAATGGACTTCAACTCAACTTGGCCCTTTGACCTTTGACCCTGTCTCTGAAGCACTGGCCTATACGATCGCATTTACAAGAGACATTACGACATTTACCACACTTAATGGAACCAAAAAATAATTAAATCCACCATTAACTTTAAAAGCTAGGCCGCTACTTATTAAAATGGAGAAGAAATTACTTTACCCTGGTGTCGTTCTTCTTTTTTAGATTTTTTTTTTGCTTAGCTATGTACATTGCATTAAGAAAAAAATGACAATAAAATGAAAGTAAAGATTATTCTAATCATCATAATCATGACAAATGGTTGCCGACAGTACCTTAGAACAGGAGCGTGCAAATGTATTACCTTGCCGCACTGTAGAAGCAACTCTTAATCTGCTCACAAATGTCACGGCTTAAGAACCGCAGCTAATTAACCACACATGAAAACAGGAATACATTTTAATATTGATCTTTCCCTCCCACTCCCCAGCGGATTCAGGCTGTGCGTGTATGATTATGAATATTTTAGAAGCGCATTTAACACGGTGAAGACAGGCGGCCTCAGAGGGGGATTTGGGCCCCACTCTTCAGCTAATGACCCAGGGCACTTCCAGCAAAGCCTCTTCATATTTTAAAGGAAGTCAATAAGCAGTGGAGCCCCGTCAGCATCACTGGGATTCATGCAGACGCCACGAGACCGGAACAAAAAAAAAATTAATAACACGCGTGCCTAACAATTCTTCCCGAGACTTAGCTGCGCATTAAAAAACCTCCTTGCTTGAAATGCAAAGTGGCGACATAGACTTGGGAAAGACAACTTTGGAAACCCCCCCCCCCCTACTAAGTAAACGCAGAGAAAAACAATGTTACAAACAATAAATTCTGTTATCACCCCCATCTTTTTTTGGCATTGGGAAGAAGGCTTGGGGTGAGATGGCAGCGCCAGGTCCAGACACAACACTGCCTCTTTTCACCCCCTCTCCCCCCCCCTGTGGTGAGCTGACATAAGCCACGCCCCCATGCCCTCTGACCACAGGACCGTACTGGGAAAACCTCAAGGCCAGCTGGGAACTGGGGTCACACCAGCCCCACAGAAACCTCCGTGTTTCATAAAAGGGGAACAAAAGGATCTAGATTTGGTGCATTGGCTATGATATATATATATATAAAAATCAAGTTATTAGACATTAGGACACTGTGCCTATGATTGGAAAGTCACCGGTTCTAACTCCAGGGTTGACATAGTGATGTCACCATTGGACCCTTCAGTAAGGCATTTAACCCCCAGTTGCTCCAGGGACTGTCTGACCCTACATTATCAAAAATGTATGTTGCTTTGGATAAAAGGGTCTGTTAAATAAGTGAAATGTAATGAAACCTAATGGCGTTGGGGAAACGGCGTGGGGTCCTGATGCGAAGAGGGGGACGGATGTACCTGACCCCCGAATTGGCCCCGGGCCCCGCGGTCTTATCGCTGGCGCTTCCCAGGGAGCCCAGACAGCATATGGTGCCGTCTCCGTGTGAACACACCACCAGCGTAGTGTGACAGACCCACGCTGTCGCTGTGGAGACAGTCGGTGGGGGAGGGGGCGGGAAGGGAGGGGAGGGGAGGGGGAGCAGGGTTGCAGGAGAGACTGACAGATGTCAAGCTGTGAGCCCGAAGAATAGGAAGTGCTGGGAGGGAGCAAAATCAGCCTCATGTGCGGAAACAGATGTACGGGGTCTGGCTGCTTTATTTTGATGCCGGAGACGGCAATTCCCCGCACCACTCTCTGATTGTTCAGAAAAACACGATCACATGCAGCACGAGGTCCCCGTAAACAAAACGCGTGCATCGCAACGTGCAGCTTTGGCGGACGCCTAATGAGTCTGCCCCGCCACCGAACACATTTCGTAACAGAAAGGATGGATTATATTAAAGCATCAAAACGAACATCTGGATGCAATACAAGACGATTAAAAAGAATTAAAGTCTGAAACGTTTCCAAGATCTAATCTTCTGGGAGCCCGCAGTAATGTGCTATTTCTTAAAAAGCCGGCGCTGCTCAGTTCATTTGGTCTAGATTTTCTGTCATCTCCGATCCACTTTGTACGTCTCCGCGGAAGATTAAGGACAGGGGTTCAATAATTCATCGCGGGGAGAATGAAAACAAACCGCGCTGGGCCGTCTTTAGACCTCAAGTAACCAGGTCAGGGCCAAAAGGAGAGAGGCCATCTTTGCAGGGACAGTCAGCCTCTGCCTCGGGGCACTGTGGTAGCCCCGGCCTCTCTGGTTGGGGGAGGCAGCGCTTAGAAGCGAGGTCAGAGGAACAACCATAATGTCGGCAAACATGGGTGCCAGGGGCTCGCCTCGTTGCAGTTCTCCGTTCATTAATAACGCGGCATCCATATGGCCACCACACGGCCCCTGGCCCCAGTGGACGCGGCTGCATCCATTCCCCGTCCAAAACGAGGTGTCGGGGAAACCCTGCCAGCAATCGGCGCTCTTCAGCTCTCCAACAATGAAAGGTCGGGCGGTATCCAGCTCTGGTTCTTTGTCATAAGTCGTCCAGGGCAGCAGCTGCCCCCCACCCCCTACCCCCTCGATCAACGGGGCCAAAAATAAACCAAAAAATACAGCACCTGCAAAATCCTGCTGGCAGTAGCGAGCGGCGTTCCTCCACAGCCCTACCAGGAACACGCCAGAATTCTCCTCCCACACGTCTACCTCCGAGGTGTGAATCCGGGGGCGTTCTTGACGTTCTCCGAGGGAAGAGCGCAGCCACACTGCGGGTCCGGTGTCATATCGGCAATATGTGTTTCCCAGTCCCGCGCGGCGATGATCGCTTATCCCCCCGCCAGCGCACATATGTTCAGGACACGGAACAGTTGGACGTGGCCGTGGGCTAAACTGGGTCAGCCTGCCACAGATGGAACCAACTCCCAATGGGTCACTCTTTGCTGGAAAAAAAGCTTCTCTAAATCTTCACTGCAATCATCTGTTTGCCTACAAAAATCTGTTTTATTGTTAAAAAAAACACCAGTTTAGAGGCCTAATTAAGTCACAGAAGCATTACTGCAAGTCTAGCCAGGGGTCCAGAATTTATTTTTTTTTTAAAAGATAAATCATGGAATCCATTTTCTGTGGCATCCGTGATTTCCATGTCATGTGCCAGGAACCATGCAGGTGACAGAACTCTGTGTTCAGGTCCTTTTGAAAAAAAAACCAGGCTCATCTGACAGACAATATCTTCATAACCAAATTGTATCCTTGGAGGCTAATGTATGTTTTATAATCACCTTAGGAAAACTGCACACCCAGGCTTGGCAAATTGCAGGCTTTGGGAGTTCTCCCAGAAAGGCAGCATTTGGGACTCTAACAGCAGATATTTTAATTAACAGTGTGGTGTAAAAATCACAGGTTTTCGCACAGATGGGTTACATTATGCATCACTGAAGTCCCGTTCAAGTCTCGTCAAGAATGTAGAGCAGTCCTAGTCCAAGCATCGTGAAGCATATTTCAGACTCTGCAAGACCTCCGCTGGAAAGAAAGGTGTGAAATCGTTGTACTCCAAATGTAGCAAATAATATATTTTTAAAAAGTCCCTCAGGCTTGAATTATATTTCAAACTAACTGCTGTTTTTGTTTTTGAAAGGGCAAAAAAAGCATTTTCCACATGGGTAAAATTGTGAAGATATCACCCCTTTTTAGAAAATCGAATCCATTTCAAAGCATTATTGAAGCCGTCATCGCAGTTGACTGTAGAGTAGTCCCAAATGCAAATCATCCAACAAAAGACTGCGTGAATGAGGCTTCTGTTTGATGCAACCTTGGCAGTGCCAGGCAGCAACTAAACCGGTATCCAGTAGCTGCACAAGCTAACAGAAGTAGCGTTAGCTAAGAGCAAAAACACCAGCTATTGGCTTTAGCACCAGCTATCGTAAAACAGCAATCGGGGGTAGCGGCAGCTAGCAGAAACGACAATATCTAACAGCACTGGTTAACAGTGATAGCATCGGCTAACAGCGACGGCAACCTCAAAAACGACGACAGCACGCACGGCGATGCCAACTAACAGCGGCGGCGGCTAACAGCAATAGCGGCAGCTTGTTAAACACACGGGTGGCACGAGACAGCCCCCGTGTTTACCGTACTGTATCTCTTGGAAAGATGTCAAGTTTGCAGCTGCAGTACAGAATTATTCATCGCCCCCCTGCCCGCCCGGGAGAGCCACAGGTAGTTGATGAAGTGGCAGTGCCAAGTGTCCCAACTGGCGAAGATAAAGCGCAGCTGCTGAGAGTCAGCGTGGCCAGATGCCGCCCGACGTGCCATGTGTTCCAAGCAGGGCACGGGGGGAGCGGGGCGCTTGCCAAGACACTCTCATCTGGTGCCAAGTCGACACATGTTCTGGCACTCCGACAGTTTCCACTCCCGGCTCCCGTTCCCCTGGCGGAAGGACGGGCTTCTCTCTCCCCTCCCGTTCTTGCCGTGTGCTCCATCCTAGCTGGACCGGCGCCTGGCACCCGCTGCCCTGCCACACAGTCTGCCTGCTCCGTGGCGCTATGCGGCAGCCCGAAAAAACCGGGTGCCAACCATCAGATCAAGGGGTCGCTCCCTGCCATGCGGGCATGCATTCCCGTCCGAGTCCACCCCGGCGGGTCCGTAGACACCATCGGGATGCCGAAGCGACAGATCTTCTGCCTGCTGAGGTTCTGCCGCACAGGTAATAAGCAGATCTCGGTAGCCATTATACAACCATGCGTTTCTCTGGTCATTTCGAATGTAAATGTTGATTAGCAGATTGTTCAAGCACTGCGAGGAAAATACCACAAAAGGGAGAATCCTTCAGTCCTCTTTTGGGGGTAATATCGTAGCGCGACGTAATGATATGGTTAGTTTTAGCACTAACCGTGGTGCCAACGTTGCCTTTTTTGCGCAGCAATCTCTGCAAGGAGCGAGACTGTAGTTGAAGATGCTCGCCTGCGTGGCGCGTCCCTGCTTATGGAGTGATTGCTCTTTGACGATACTATTTCTCCACTGCAGGGGAGTTTCCGAGGGAAAAAAGAGCCAGGTTCACAGGAACATCCCATCCTCGCCTGCAACATGGGGGTTCGGGGACGTGCAAACTTTTTGAACGAGTGCCATGTCTGAGCAATCCTTATCTGAGGCCCGCGAGTGCCAGCTGGCGGCTGTGTGTGCCCGCACCGCAAGCCGGTGCCAGAAAGCGCTGGCGTGCCTGGGTCCTGGCAGGAACGATCTGGCAACAACCCGCTTCCAAGGCACCTTCCCGCTCATGCCTAGCTCTGCTGTTCGCCGTTTCCGTCGAGGTGACATCTTGTTCACCACAGGACAGAAGATGCTCTGTGGCTCCAATTTACTTTGTTTCAAAAAGTACCAGGATTAGGGTACTTCAACTTATTCTTCATAATAAATGTGGTTTCTTGGGTATTATTGCAGAAATGGTAAAGTAATATATTCAGATGTCTATCAGTAAGAATACCTTCTTGTCTCCTGCAAAACAGATAACATGTATTTTATAAGCATACAAATAAAATATAAATGTATTCATTTATATCCAAAAACGTACGTGTATCAGTTGTTTTACTACGGATAGCTAGGGAAGGGCGATCATCAGACATTACCGTTATGATACTGCGGTTTTTAACAACTAAAATTCAACCCAAATGCATAAATTCAATTACAATTAATAAATGTGATTAAACAGACTATGAGATACCGGTGCATGTTAAACTTTCGGTTTTGGAAGCTCCGCACTAAACAGCAAGTTCCCATCCTATTCTCGGGATGGGTGTTTTGACGCGGGAACTGTGTGATGCCCGTGCCGCGGTTTCCCTCCGGACGCTTTTAATGCCGTACCGGGCTCTTATACGTACGATTGGAATGACTTCAGGGTAAGATGAAGTGGACAGAAAGCATATTTAATCAATTAAATGCTAGTGAAATACTTGATATTCAGTTTTTCGTTATTATTATACCGACGTAGAGTATTGTAATTGTTAGAAATTGTATATTGAATTTGTACCGGAGAAAAAAAAGGGTGACAGTTGTCCGCGGCGAATTTATATGTGTGTACTAACTTACGATTGCTTATATATGTGCAATAAATACGATGATGTTATTACTAATGCAGTGTATTAATACACGTAGTATGTTTTGTTTAAACTTCAATATAATCAAAGGGACTATACCCGAAATGTTTTAAATATTAATTTGTTATGTAATTATAACCAGGGGCACATTAATTATGCATGAATGGTGATTATTGTGTTATCTTTCTGGAGTACTGGCCTCAAGGAGGACCCACGTTCCCAGCTTGGTATTTTTTCATATAAAACTATTAATCTCTCGGTCCTAGTCCATGCTTAGTCCTGTGACTTTATGGTAATCATTACTCAAGTCCAATTTTAAGAATTATTCGCCCTGATCTCGTTTATTGCAGTTATTATCCCTTAACCTCCCAGCTCGTCCTGCTTAATTAAAACGGGTGCAGTCCGTGTCAGGGGGCTTCTGTGGTGAGAGCAGGTGTGAGAGCGACTGTGGCTCCCAGTATCCCTCGTCGCTGCTCAGTCTGTGCCTGTTTGCCTGGGATTTATTCCTGTCGGGGGACTTGACTGTAATCCCACAATGCTGTCAGGCCGTATTCCCGGTCTGCTCCTGCCTTAATGTTGTACAAGAGCCATGCAGAACCGCGGGGTCTGAGTGTATGCTCACATTGAGTTCGTTTAGTGGGTAGAAAACGAAATTAAGTACTGTACATGTGCAAATCAGCTCGAAAAACAAATCTTTTTAAAAAGATCCACCCGATGGACAATTATAATTTAAAAATCTAATACAAATTTAAAATATAATTTATAAGTTATGGCAGTCTCACAAGTCTTTGTACTTTGTGTACATTATTTAACCTTTGGACTCTAGCTCTGTAGTTAAACATTTCTGGAATTTCTTTGTGCATTATCGTGCTTGGTATTAGAAGCAAATACTAGTCTTTAGAAATACCAGCATGAGCATAGATCATAGACTTTATCGTAAAAATTATCAGTAACGTAAAGCCACTAATTTCTAGTTTATTTTTTTATTGTAGTTGCTGCTAGAAGCATGAGGCTTTGAAATTGGCGTCCTGGGAGGTGCCTGAGGGAAGTGCACCAATGCTGCTGGGAATTGCTCTCCATTCAATGCACAAGGGTCCTCTGTGCATTTCAGGCCTGGCATGGACACACCGGGAACCTGGTAAGAAAGCAGCCAGGTGGCTCTTGAGAAGCGGTCCCAGGAGATGGTGTGTCTCCACGGGCACGAGCCAGTTAGCTGGGACGAGGAGGGTCACTCCCGTGTTCACCAGAGCTCCGAAGTTTGGGGACAAGCTGGCCATTTTAGATAGCAGCGGTGGCCACAGCTACCGTGACCTGTATGACAGCAGCTTGGGCTTAGCGAGGAGGTTGCTGGAGCAGCTGGGTTGCACCTCTGGGGATGTGCAGGGGAGAAGGATCTCCTTCCTGTGTGCTAATGACGCTTCCTACGTGGTGGCGCAGTGGGCGGCCTGGATGTGCGGGGGTGTCGCCGTCCCCCTCTACAGGAAGCACCCACCCTCAGAGCTGGAATACATCATCACCGACTCCCAGAGTTCTTTGCTGCTGGCGGGGGACCCTTACGCAGGCACCCTGGGGCCCCTGGCTGAGAAGTTAGGCCTCCCTTGCCTAGAGCTGCCTCCTTCTTCTGGCCTGGCTGAGCTGAAGACCGCGGAGACTCACGCAGACCTGCCGATCGCGGACTGGGCCGACAGACCGGCCATGATCGTCTACACCAGTGGCACCACGGGCCGTCCCAAGGCGGTCCTCAGCTCACACAGGAACCTGCAGGCCATGGTAAGGGGGCCTTGAGGTCAATTCTCTGCGGCAATCAGACTTACTCACATGGTTCAGACCCGCCCAGTATCTAATTAATTTATTAATACAGAGCCAGTCAAGAGTCTGGACACACCTACGGAAAAATCATTTGTTTTTCAACAAGATACCGAGGTTGGTCAGGACTGCTGGAGAAGCTAATCGGGAGGTCTGCAATGCTGTCATCAAAGCGAAACGGGGCTATTTTAAAGAGTCTAAAATTTTTAGATGTTGAACACTTCTGTTTGTTGCCGTATTTGATAAGCATTACATCACTATCTTGAGGGCCTTCTGTTATGACGTAAATAACACTAAAATCAAGACAAATGCAGATGTTTCCGGACTTTTGACTGGTACTGTATATACACAAGTTCGGTACAACCAGATAATTATTTACAGTACTGTGCAAAAGTCTTGGTCAAAAAGATAATGTTTAAAGCTACTTATCTGGGTAGTAAGTGAATATTTGCTCAAAACACAATTTAACATAATAAAATATGCAAATTAAGAGTAATATAATAAAAACATATAGGAATTTCTTCTGCTTTCCAAAAAGTTACTGTCATCTTGTTGGACGGCTAGATGAACACCGCTTCAGTTCCTAAACCCCTCCTCAGGGGCACCTCAGCCATTCCATGTATATGGTAAATTTCACCAACTCAATTAATTATTGAATTAGTTATAAAAGTTAATAAGGTATTAGGTATTGATTAGCCATATGAGGTGTGCTAGTGGTTGAGTCAAAAAATATATTAGTTTATTGGATAGTTGCTGCAAATACTGGGGAGGACATTTGAAATGGCTAAGCTGACACACTTTGACAGACAAAATATCATAGTTTTGCACCAGGGATGGCCAGTCTTATCCCAAAAGGGCTGTTATGTTTTCATTGCAACTCCCTAATTATATTACTAATTAGAGGACTGATTGGCTGAAGAGTGCTCACACCTGGGTTTGAACAGCTGACCTGCAGGTTATCCCAAAAACCAGCGTACACACCGGCCCTTTGCGGATACGATTGGCCTCCCTTGTTTTTCACCAACATGAAGATTATTTAAACATCATTTTTGCTTGACTGCCTAATGTATTGCAGAGTACAGTGTTTCTCTTTTATTTTTATTGGTCTGTTGCACAGCTTCAACCTGTTATACCTTTGTCTATTTAATCTAGTATTTGGTTATTATGTACTTTCTGTGTAATTTTTATTTATTTTAAATGATTGCGACTGCACTGAGATATCATGCCAAATTCCTCGTGCTTGCAAATGTACTTTGAGAGAATAAAATTGAATCTGATCCCCCTTATCTTGAGCTCAGTGCTTTGCGCTCTTTTTAATAACTTCTCCACATTCGCTTTAACTCCCCGGCTGAATCTGTGGAGGCCATTATTAAACATGCCCGATTAGACCTGGATTTGTTCACCTGGATAATGTGGTCGGTTATTTACGGCAGAATTCACCTGGAATGTCTCGCCATTGTGTAACTCAGTGGAAACTCCTTTTCCAGCTGGTTTTAGTGGCCGCTAACGATCCCTCTTGCTGGTAGATTGCCTGCCAGTCGCTGTGAGCCAGGATTTTAAAAAGAATAATTTGATACATATTCCAAAGAAAAAGTGAAACCTCTGAGAAAGTCTGGAAACCTGAAGTTTTTGGGGTTTTTTTTGTTCTCTCTTTTTCTGGAATCTGAGACTTAAGAGCCATTATATGTCACAGCTATTCATTAATTATATGAATTCATTTGTCCCACGGGGTTATTTCAGATGAATTTGTTCATTGTTATTTGTTCTCATACAGTGATTCTGTGGATAGCGCTGTGGCTTGACGTCTCAGGTTATGGGTTCGATTCCCACACGCGACTCAGTACATATGAAGTTTATGTGTTTGGGCAGGTACCCTGGCTTCTTCCCACCGGACATAAACATGGTGTTAAGTGAACCAGTGTACATGAATAGCCCCCGTGACTGTGTGTACGCCTTGCGGGGGCAGACATACTGTCCTGACTGTCCTGTTTCAGCCCCAGTGCATCCAGAGACAGGTTTTACCCTGATGGTGAACCTGTACTGAATTAACAGTGGTGGAAGATGGATGGATGGATGGATGGATGGATGGCTGTTTTCTCATTCAAGGTTACTTTGCTGGGGCAGATTGCTCTCCCCTCCCTATCGTCGCACTGTTAACTGTTCTGTCCCTCTCCCACAGATCCAGTGCCTCGTGTCTGAGTGGGGCTGGTCCGGGGATGATGTCATACTGCACACGCTGCCCCTTCACCACGTTCACGGCATCATCAACAAGCTGCTGTGCCCTCTGTGGGCAGGTGCCACCTGCCGTATGCTGCCTGACTTCCAGCCCCAGAAGGTGATCCCCCTCCCCCGTTTGCCCATACACGTCGCCTCGATCTCACAGAGGTGGCCAATTACCATCCCCCTAGTCAACCATTCGCCCCTATTTTTGGGAATAGTTACTGTTTGACTTAGAGAGTGTGGTTAGTCACCATGTTCGGAGTATGATCATTCCTCAGAAAGTTGGGTCAGACAATCCCAAGAGCAGTTGGGGGTTAAGGGCCTTACTGAGGGGCCCAATGGTGCTGAGTCTAGGATTTGAACCAGCGACCTTCCGATTACAGTCACCCCCCCCCCCCAAGATGGTCTTCTGTCACACTTGAAACAATGAAGTTGTGTGAGGGTGGGGGGCGGCTAGGTGATGGTCATTTTCCTCGGCAGGTTGTCAGCCCCCTCCGCTAATTGTGGCGTCGTTCTGGGCTGCTGAGCCCAGGCTCCCCCCACGTCGACAAAGCTGACAGCCTCCGGGCCCCTGCTGCCGAACCAGAACTGGGTGGCGGGCTACACGGGGCGGGGCAGCTGCATGCGGCGTCCCCCCCAGGCTGTCACGCTAAGCGGCCGCGTCTTCGTGATGGATTACCCTGTCTGCCCGCCTGGCTCCACTGTGAGGGCTGCGAATCAACGCCATCGATTGGCTGACACTGAGAAATGACGGGCTACGATTGTTTGGGATGAGGGGGGGGGGGGGTTGAAGAGGGTGTGTAGAGGGTCAAGCTGTTGACAGGCAAGGGCTTCAGAGGACAATTAGTGTAAGCAATGGCAAGGAAGCTTGCAAATCATGTTTGCTAAAAGGGGGCACTTCTGACCCCCATGATATGGTGAAATTGGTATATTCCGGGTCATTTTCCTTGGATTTCGTCTTGGTTCGCTCTGTTAGCATTTGGACAGGCCCTTTGTGACCACGTCTGTCTGCCAGAGCTGCTCTTCTGCATCCAGGGAGGTCGGTGATGCTCGCCAGTGAGCCCCCGTTTGAGGGCGGAGAGGTGCATTGTGGGTATGCCGCGTGAGTCGATTGGCCCCGCAGGACCCTCCACGGCCTGCGGCAGGCGCTGCTCAGTGAGATGTGACCGGGAGTGTAATAGGGGGGGTCATCAGGGCAGATGCTTTCAGGTGAAGGCATGGAGGGGGGCAGTTTGGGGGGGGTGGCGGTTGGGCGGGCAAGCAGAAAGACAGACGTAATTAACTGGTGCAGAAGTGGAGAGCTTGTCTCATGTGCGGTCAAGGGACAGAGCTCATGGATTGGGGGGGTGCATGCAGGTACGAGGTGTGGGCTCTCTATGGTGTAGGCTGATTCTTTTGAAGGGCGTAAATTGCCCCCCCCTCCACTGCGTCCCAGTTGCGTCCCAGAATGTGCAGAACACAGTCTGTAAATAACACTCCCCTCTGAACCCGGAACTGTGTGTGTGTGTGTGTGTGTATGAATGTGCGTGTGCGTGTGCGTGTGTGTGTGTGTGTGTGTAGCTGCTTTCCCAGAATGCACCAGTGCTGGAAGTCATCACCCCCCCCCCCACAGCCATAGGGCTTTCTCCCCCTGCCATGCAGAGAAATACGGCAATGGCAAGTCACAGACGCTCCATGGACTCATTAACTGCGGCCAGTATTCCACCGGTATTGTGCCCCGAACGTGCACCGGGTGCAATTTGCCAATTCTCCCTGCATGCTGTGCTTGTCATTTTCCATCTTTATATCACACAACCCAATTTGCTGGTGGTTTAAAGTGAGACAAAGACATTTTGTTTATGTTTTCTGAGCCGCTGGGTTGGATTGCTGGTGAATTTTATTTGCAGTGTGTGTGGTCCCAGGGCGGGCTGTGAATTTGGCGTGTGGCCCAGTGTCATTGTGGCGGGTGAGGGCAACCCCAGTGGCACGGGAGTACCATGCCCAGGACCTATCCGGCTCAGAATTCCGGGACCCCCGCCTCACCCGGTGGGAGCCTGTCCCCCTCCTCCCGCAGCTTTTCCTGTCCTCAATCGTTAATTGTCGTCGCTCGTTTGTGTCACTGAACTCGGAACGGGAGTTGGGGAGAAACGGTAGCGCACTGGTGGTGTCTGACAGGAAGAAAGATGGATGCAGGTACAGAAGGACGGGTGTGTGTGGGGGGGATGCAGGGAAGGGGGGGGGCGCAATGAGATGGGGGTGCCAGGTAACATGTGGTGATGGCGGAGGGGGCACGATGGAGAGAGGAGGAGGAAGAGGGAGACTGATAAGAAGAGAAAGGTAGTGAAGCGGCGAATAATGAGAGTGTGTGTGAGAGGGGGGGTGCGGGGGGCGGTGTGAATATCCCAGGGGGACAGAGGGAAGGAGAATCTGCCGCTCACCTTCAATTAATTCCCGCTTTTCTCCCACTGTGTGCAGGGTGTGCAGTGAGGCATGCCGTGTGTGTGTGTGTGTGTGTGTGTGAGAGAGAGAGAGTGAGCCAGCCGGTGAGTTGAAATGTCTACCCCCTCCCTTTCCACTGCCGTTCAGCGTCTGGGCACGTTTCTATGGCGGTGCCCGTCTGCGTCTGCCCGTCTGCGTCTGCCCGTCTGCGTGTGCTCCCTTGTTCGCCAGCATGCTCATGGTCCTCCATCTGCCTGTGTATGCGACGGAGGCCGCGCCTGCCGGTGTTGCCCCAAACCCATGCATGTTACATGTCCTCCATCCAGCTCGGCAGTTGCCCTGATTACTGTCTGGTTCCTCCGTCCAATCAGGTGTGGGAGGTCCTCCTCAGTGCCAGTCCTCCTAGGGTGACCGTGTTCATGGCCGTCCCCACCATCTACTCCAAGCTCATCCAGCACTACGAGCAGCACTTCGCCACACCCCACGTGCGGGACTTCGTCCGGGCCATCTGCGCGGAGAAGATCAGGTATGGGACCTGGCCAGCAGGGGGCGACTCCAAGCTGGTCCTCCGAAAGCATCGTGTACTTAATTTTTTTTCTCAACGTCAAGATACATAGCGATTTTCATCAAGGCGGCAGCGGTCGATTTCTGTCATTAAGCCCGTCCCGTCTCGCGTTATTAATTAAGCACTTTTAATTAAGCCCTGGAATGCTGAGTATGTCCGACTGCGGGAGACAGATTCTCCAGCGCGAGCGGGTCAGTCCAGCCATCTGTCTGGAGGTGCTGATGTTATAATTACTAACGTTAGCTCGCCCGGCTGAGCGCTTAGGCGGCACCTCGGGCTGGCTGTATCCCGCACCCTGTCAAAAATATCAGCTTGTTTACCCACTGAGCCGTAGCGCTTTTCAGGATCGCCCCGTGCTCAAGTTGGAGCGTTTCAGGCAACTGTCTGCCGCGTTAGTGTTAGCGCCTAGCCTCTGGAGGCCCTGTGCTCGCAGCATTCCCCTAACACCCACCCCCCCCTCACCTCTGGCTCCGTCCCAGGCTGATGGTGTCCGGCTCGGCCGCCCTGCCCCAGCCTGTCCTCCAGCGTTGGGAGGAGATCACCGGACATACCCTTCTGGAGCGCTATGGCATGACGGAGATTGGCATGGCGCTGTCCAATCCGCTGAGAGGAGCCCGCATTCCAGGTGCCAAGTCCCGCCCTAGTCCCGCCTTTCGCCCAATCACATGGCAGATGCGTCGTAATGGTGCGACACACCTGTGTGCAGAGTCCTCGAAGGGCTCTCCACACCCTCTCTCATGCCCTGCTTCTCATGGTGCTTTGGAGAGCGACAGTGATGTAAAACCGAAGAGACGCTTATTTACTGTTCATACAGTGTACGTCATGATTTACTATGTGCTAATTTCTGCTGGCATGCCTGTGAGAATCGCTGTCTTATGTTAGCATCAAATGCTAACGGAATTAACATTCGCGTGCGGAAATTCGCATTACGGATCCATTCCATTCAGCTGTTCTATTGTACTTTTTCAAGTAGGAGGTTGGAAGTGATCAAATTACGAGTTATTGGAATGCATCCGTACTTTGCAATATATGATATAACTAATCCATGCATATCGACACATATCACCGGTTCTTTCTTGTCTCAACCAACCAGATGGTGGTGATGCAAGCAGCTCAGTTTTGTCATGCTTTCGGCCCGGCTAGTGAGCAGAGCCATATCAGCACGGGTGCGGGTTTGGTACAGCTCCCATCATTTATAATGGAAAATTGTCTGTTCGCGGTACAGCTCAGTTCTTTGTGTCAGTGGAAAAGCGGCACTAAGGCTGGTTCATAGTTCTCAGAAACGCAGCACTCGCGTATCCACTCTGCATATTCGCACACGGAAATGTTCATAGTTCTCTGGTCAAGCCGCGTACTTTGCACATGCGCACAACGTGTTGCATTTATATTTTTCTTAATGATAATAATATTAATTATTATTCTGATATTCCCTGCACACATACCACAGCAGTGAGGTTTGTGTCCCTTTCTCTACGTTTTACAAATTCAGAGAGCCAGATCACAGGGTTTTTGGTCAGCTGGCTGGAGTAAGATCATACTTGTGGTCCTGGCAAGACCAGTGTTGCTCTCTTGCCTTCCCAGAACGCACTTGGGGTGCAATGAATCATGGGATTGGTCTCGTTCGACGAGGATGCAGCCGACGTACCCTTGATATTTAGGGTACGTCGTGTTTGTACGGGTGTTGAGAAACACCCATTGTTTACCGACTGTGAGGAGCTACTCAGCCATGAGGAGGAGCTACTGATAGGTGGGGGGGAAGGGGGGGTTTAAAATCTTCAAAGCAATAAACTTGACGGTTGTACCCCATAATACTGTCACTGGCGCTTAATTTGCTGTTTCATTGCAACGTGTTGGAAATAAAAAGTGTTGTTTTTGATCTTCAGAGGTGGTGATTAGGAGCGGCCCGATTCGCCGTGGCCGTGTGCTGGGCTCTCTCCCGCGGTAACGCCGCCCTGAGTCACCGTGGCCGTGCGCTGGGCTCTCTCCCGCGGTAACGCCGGCCCGAGTCGCCGTGGCCGTGCGCTGGGCTCTCTCCCGCGGTAACGCCGGCCCGAGTCGCCGTGGCCGTGCGCTGGGCTCTCTCCCGCGGTAACGCCGGCCCGAGTCGCCGTGGCCGTGCGCTGGGCTCTCTCCCGCGGTAACGCCGGCCCGAGTCGCCGTGGCCGTGCGCTGGGCTCTCTCCCGCGGTAACGCCGGCCCGAGTCGCCGTGGCCGTGCGCTGGGCTCTCTCCCGCGGTAACGCCGGCCCGAGTCGCCGTGGCCGTGAGCTGGGCTCTCTCCCGCGGTAACGCCGGCCTGAGTCGCCTAAGTAGGTTAACGCAAATCGATATCCGCGCCGCGCCGGAGTGGGTGACCTCCCCTGCTGGGTCTTTTTCCAGCCAATTAGCAAACAGCCCTTAACATCAGAATTACCTCTCCCACATTTGCTTTAATTTGCGATTCAGTGCAAATATGTCATAAAACATACATTTCTCAGTTTAACCCTTTTTGAATATAGGATCTGGTTAATTTTTCTCTTTCATTTCCATGCAAGTGCAAGGGAGAAAAGCCCAGATAGCAAACACACACACAGACACAGACACACACAGACACACACAGACACACACAGACACACACACACAGACACACACACACACACACACACACACACACACACAGGTGTTCTTTTTTGGACTGGTTGCCCCCCACCCCAATTTTGGACAGCCCACTGATGCACAGCCTCGCCCCCGGCAGTGAGGATGAATTATTCATGAGGCCTAGCAGTGGTGCCCTGCCCAGCGCTGCTCATTATGGGATGCTGCTGTGCACGCCGGCACCTTAATTAGGGCCTCAGGTGGACGCGGAAATCGCGCTGCGTTAATGGCCGTCCCCACGGCAACGGGATCCGGCTGTCCGAGCGGACTCTCACTGCCGGACCGCATTCCGGCACTCTCCATCCTAAAACCACTCCCCTCTTCCCAGTGAGAACAGACAGAATGACAGCCACCTTAAACACACACACTCATGCACACACGCACACCTGTACACGTGCCACTGTGGGGGTGTGAACTGGCTGTGCCTTCTGTCTCCACGGCGAATTCCCTGGATGCACACTCATCTGCTGTGTCAGCCGCACGCGCTTTCCTGACACGCATGCACTGTAACATGCGTGAGCCGAGGCGTGTACACATGCAAACACATACACATGCTTGCGATGGGGTACAGGAATAGCGGCAACCCTGCACTTCATGAAAAGACGCAAAAGGCCTCCCATTTATGACTTATATAGTTCACACCTATTCAGGGACCCTAACAGATGAGGAGTAACTAATCAATTAACAACTGAAGCAGGTGGACGTGATCCGGGTAACACCCAGGAAGCATCGAGTCGGCGAGTTCTTTTACAGCGTTGGGCCCCATAAAGGCCCCCGCCGTGCTCTTTCGCGTGGGCCTCATCTCTCCGTTGACGCTGCTTGTCGTCGTATTCGTTGACAGCGTTGTTATTTTCAGCCCATTGCTTGACGGCTTGACGTTACTTTCATTTTGCTTTTCCAGATCATTCTGTGTCTCAAATGACACGTGTAGCTCAGGCTTCACCTCTTATAAATGCGTGCGTCTAAATCGGCGAACCCCCCCCAGGCCCCGCCCCCCAGGCCCCGCCCCCGGCCCTCGTGCCTGTCAGTGTCCATCGCCAGCCACCTTTGTCTTTATATTCATGTTTTGTTCTGTATTTTTTGCCTGTTCCAGTCTGAAGTGACAGGCCATTCCAAATGACCTTATGAGAGGGTGCCTGAAAAGATTCCGGCCCCACACCTTTCCCCAGATCCCGAGAGAGAGAGAGAGAGGGAGAGTGTTAAGCTCAGGCCCTAAATGGATTCCGCTGACATTCTGATCGAGGGAAGAAATGCTGTTTTGTCACTCTCGCTCCTGTCAACTTCGAGTGCAGAAGGGGGCACAGCAATGGCTGCCCAGAAACAGGTTCCCCATTAAGAACAAATAAATAGATTTTTTTTTAAATGTCATACGAAGACAGTCCCAAGAAAACTGGCCAGATTTGAGCTGTGTGGCCCTTGGTTTGGCCCTTAAACCCGGCTAATTCCAGAGATTACAGGCTCGTTAATAGGATTCGTTATGTACCTGAAGCAGGGCGTGTGGCCCACCTGATGTCTTTGATGAAAGTGGTGAAGAGTAACTCTGGATTCCTTTAATCCCACAGCATCAAATGATTTCATATTTACTGTTTGTCCCCCGGGCAGGACTCGGAATACAAACATTGCAGGTTTTATTTTAAAAACAAAGCTGAATAAATAGATAGAATTGCAAGTAGCCGATTAAATGTCTCTGCTAAAGCAGGAAAATAGCAGTTATTTATGGTGTGGTCATTATTGTTAATATTTTATCAGAGTCTCTTGACACGGTTTGTTGGAAGGTCCCTTCCCTGCAGCCTCAGATCAGAGTCCGGCTCCTTAACTGCCTGTTGTCTTTGCCATTTGCTGGATGGGTTCTGGCCCAGGTGTGACTGTGATGCCCATGTGCCATTTTAGGTATCAGAAGACCTTCACACCAGTAAAAAAATGTAACATTTTGATTGTGAATGAATTCAACATCAAACCTTTGACATTACTGTAAAGTAAATGAGCCTCATTAGAAGTTGTTAAACGTGGCTCGTCCCACCTTTTCTCTTAAGCAGGGTGGTGTGTGAGGTCACGCAGCCCGCAGAGACGAGGCCCCGAAGGTTCTGCATCCATTTTTGAAATGTCATGCGGTCACTTTAAGAGGGAGACGGGGGTGTCCGTATTGTAGTGTGTCTGTGTCACTTCAAGGTGTGTTTCTCTGTGGTGCTTGCTTGCTTCAGGTGCAGTGGGTAAGCCACTTCCTGGTGTGGAGGTGCGGATTGTCATGCCCACCACCACCGACACCATTATTGCCGAGGGCGACTGCAGGAAGACACAGGTAGCACCTGGGACCATGGCACCACTTGTCTTTTGGCGCTTTTCCACTGGCATTCAGGAACCGAGCCGTACCCGATCTGTGCCACAAAGACAGACTAGTTACAGTGCGGTTCCAGCTCGTTTCGGTTTTCCACTGCAGAATGGTCGGCTTGGTAAAGGCGCTGTGATAGTGAAGTAAAACCAAAGAGACGCTTATTGACTGTTCACATGGCGCACATCATGATTTACTATGTGCTGATTTCCACTAACAGGTCTGTGACATTCGCTGTCTTATGTTAGCATCAAATGCTAGCGGAATTAGCATTCACGTGCGTAAATTTGCATAACAATTACATTCAGTTTAACTGTTCTATAGTACTTTTTTAGGTAGGAGGTTGGATATTTAAGTCCTGAGTTATCAGGAATGCATCAATATATCATAATGTGCAATATTACTAATAATGGCTAATATATATAATTATTCCCTTTTTTCCTTCATATAATCCATGCATTGCAACACAGAACACCAGTATCTCCATGCATTTTGACACAGAACACCAGTATCTCCATGCATTTCGACACAGAACACCAGTATCTCCATGCATTTCGACACAGAACACCAGTATCTCCATGCATTTCGACACAGAACACCAGTATCTCCATGCATTTCGACACAGAACACCAGTATCCCCATGCATTTCGACTAATCGGATGGTGGTGAAGCAACCAGCTTGGTTTAGCCACTTTTTCCAACCCTGCTAGTAAGCAGGACCCTGATGGTTTGTGGTTCGACTCGATTCCGGGTGGCAGTGGAAAAGTGCCGTTTGTGTTACTGGGGGAGGAGCAGGGGTTCTCCTTTCACACCAATTTAAAATATGTGATTCTAAGGTAAAACTTCAATCCTCAGCTCTTTTTGTCTTTAGTGAAGAGTGTGAGTCAAAATAACAGAATTGCATAGTTACGCCAATTATGAATGGGGGTAAATAGTTCTCAAAATGTGAAATTTCAAATATAAGCAAATTACCACAACACAGCTCACATGTAAATTGCCAAGCTTCCATATTTATGTTGCCATTTATTTTTTTCCATTGAAAATATGTGCATTTGCTTTCAGTTTGGGTAATTTGAGCAAGACTGACTAGTTGTAGTTCTAATTGGCTGATTTTTTTCTTTTTTCTTTTTACTGTCAGGTCCGACCTGGTATGGATAAGAAAGAAGGGGAGCTGTTGGTCCGAGGACCTTCCGTCTTCAAAGAGTACTGGAACAGACCTCAGGAGACCAGGGAGGCTTTCACTGCTGATGGCTGGTTCAAGACAGGTATAGCGCCACCTGCTGTTTCCTCCTGTTCCAGCTCTCACCTTACTTTTACACATTTACACACAACAAAACAAAAACAACTTCTGGTCAGTTTTTAACATGAATGTCATATATGGCCAATAGTGGAGGAAGTGAACTTCGTAATCAAGGGTTTGAGATACAGTAAGTTATTATTAATAAATATTAATAATATAATAATATATTTTATTTCATTACAGTAACATTGGCTATATGTAATCTTCTTCCAATTATCAGTCAGCATTTCTCATCTCGATCGTTGTCATAATCATAAACTCCCCCCCGCCCCCCCCGGTTTAAATAAGGCTTGCGGCGCTTTAGGTGTCCCGGTTTCACTGCTGGAAGCTAAGAAAATCACAGAGAAATATATCACGTTCAAGGCAGGAGTCGGCTGATCCTAAATCAGATTTAAGGGTAGCAGAGAAACAGCTTGTGGAGAGTGAATAATATGGTGAAGGGGAAGTGAGAGGGGCAAAGGGGACACGGGACCCTCCAGCCAGGATGCTTTTAATTGGCTTTAAGGAGAGTGGGGGGCTGAGGTCACTACTGTTGTGCTTGGAAGAGAACGAGCAGCCTGAGTAATGAGAGAGAGCAATCAGCGCCAGCAGGCGGGACCCCCCCCCCCCCCCCCCCCCCCCCCCCCCCCCCCCCCCCCCCCCCCCCCCCCCCCCCCCCCCCCAACCCCAACCCTGTCCCTTTTCTACAGAAAGATCAGAATCCTGCCTTGGATGCTTAACCATTAGCATTATTAGCCAAGTGGTCGAAATGAAATGAGACGAGTGCATGTTCATTGCACTGCTTCTTTTCGCATATCACACACATACAGTTAAGAATAAGACTCGAACCAGCGACCTTCCGATCACGGGCATAGAGGCCACACACCACCACAAGGTGACATATGTGCAGCCTCCGTTAAATGACATGTACGGTGTGTATTGTTTGCTGTTGTCTGTGGCAGTCGGGGGGGGGGCGTCTTGGTTATTGTGTGGGGGTTATAGCTGTTGTCCCATTCGCTCTGTGGGGGTTCCTCCTTCAATAACATCCCTCCCTTGGGGAGTGACCTAAGCGGCAGACTGGTGGTCTTGAGCCCTGGTGCACTGTGATGCCGAGGGGGGGTGCTGTGGGGCTCCGCAGGGTACGATGCGGTGCCCGTTATTGGAAGGTCATCAGTTCAAATCTCTCTCAAAACAAAAACATCGCTTTGAATAAAAGCTTCTGTTAAATAAAGGTGTGATGAAAGGTACTTTACCACTGAAAACATCCATCTATCCATCCATCCATCCATCCATTTTCTTTAACCATTTCTCCTATTCAGGGTCGCGGGCGGTCGGGAGCCTATCCGAGAGGCTACAGGCAGAAGGCAGGGAATAACCCGGGGTGGGGCACCAACCCATTGCAGGGCACAGTCACACGCACTGAAACAAACTCCTCTGTGCAGAATGAATGAATATAAGAACTGGAAATAACTCTGAGTTTGGTATACAAGTGAATTTTGGCCTCGTAGCTTTTGATTTATCGGGGAAAATGGTCTGTGTAAAGAAATGAGCTGTCGCTCCTGCCTTTGCTGGCCCTGCAGACCCACGGCGATGCTCTCGTCTCCGCGAGGTCAGGGACGCCGTGCGCCGGATGAGATTAGTCCGAGCGCTCGGAACATGTCTGGGACCAAGGGTGGAGGTTTTAATTCATTATGCAGCCCAGCTCTGATAGAAACGTATAATTAGATTTCTCACACATTGATTTCCAGAACTGGAGCTTTTCTTTGGCTGTTAAGTTTTTATGTATCTGTAGAGTAAAACTGACCCCCCCCCCCCACTTTGAGAGTGATGAAAGCTTCCTGGCCGGCATGGGTGTGCTGCGTGTGCCAGCTTTGCTGAGGGTGGAGTTCCGCTGCTCATAGGTCCTTTGCCTTGACTCCTACCCCACCTCTCTGTAAAAGCTGCCCCAGCACTTTTGTGAGGATGTAGCTGTGTTCAGCCCCATCACCGCTAGCCTGAAAGGTGCCTCCTTGCCTCCCATCGCCATCCTCATTTTTGCCGCCAAAGACCCCCCCCCCCCCCACCCTGATGGTTTTCATTAACGTTGTTTCTTCCCCGAGCGCCCTGGCTGTCCTCCCCCATGGTCATGTTCACACCTTTACGGCTGGCCTCGGATAATCACCTGGCAGAAGAACACCAGCCGTTAGCTGAACTCTTGAGCCGTCTGGCCTGGTCCGCTGCGGAGATCTGTTTTTAATGTTACATACGTTCAAACAATGATTTTTGCAGATGCTTTTTTAAAATGAACTTATCATCTTGGTTTTTTTTTCATAGAATGAGACCAGCAAAATTTCTAGACCAGTAATTCTTTTTCCATCTTGGGTTTTGCCCAGGGACCTTTTGACGACCTGGATAGTTTTTTTGGCTGTTACCTCTTTTAGGGGACTTACAGTAAAATCACAGCAGCTGTAGTCATTTGACTGATATCGGCACAAGCAGAATGACCCGGACCACATGACCTGAGGGCTTCTGTGATGTCCTACATCCAGGCAGAAACCACCAATCAGGGCTCTGACAGCTGCTATGGCAGCCTGATAGCCGTACAGATTTATCAGACCCCGTCAACCGTAACCTCTGACCTTCTGTGCCGTCTGGGGCTGCCAGTGTCAGAACGGCGCGCTGTGAAATGCGGGTCGCCGGCGGCGATATGCGCCGTGGATGCAGCTAATAAGGTTCCCCCGGCGGCAGCGAGACCTTTAAAACACAGTGGTGTAAACAAGGCCATTATTTTTATTGTGTCGGAGGAACTATGGGGCTGGGGGCGCGGTGGGGGGGCCGACATGGGGTTTAGCCATTCCCTGATCTTCTGGTGGGACGGGCACCACTTTCCGGGAATGGATTATGTAGTTAAAAACAAAAAGGGGAGAGAAAAAAAACTAAAATGCATTAGCGGTGTTCCGAGTGCTGCATGAACATAGTTATGAATAATGGAAACATCCTAAAAATTGCCAGAGCTCCAGTAAGCATCGTTTGGGGACCACGCATTAGCCTTTGTGCTCATAAATAAGGGAGGCATGGATGGTGCTGTTGGGGGGGGTGTTAACGAGGATAACTAGGCTGAGCTCCTGCAGGTCCCCCCCCCCTCAGCTGTGGGGTCAGAGCACAAGGCATGGAGCCCCCCCACATATTTTTTGAACATTGTGCTGCGTGAGATGAGACTTGAAGAAGAATGGCACTGTCCCCTGGATTATGGCTGGTGCCAGGGCCTGTGTGTGTGTGTGTGTGTGTGTGTGTGTGTGTCTGTGTGTGTGTGTGTGTGTGTGTGTGTGTGTGTGCGCGCGCGCATGCATGTATACCTTACCTCATGGGGACACAATGTCCCCACAACGTGATGAATACCCGTTTTTTTCCCTTATGGGGACCAGTTTTCCTCCTCAATTTAATGAAAATCTCTGACTGCAATGAAAAAACTAAAAATGCAAAAACTCTTGTATTTTGCTTGATTACTTATGGTCATGGTTAGGGTTGGGTGGGGGTTAAGATTGTCATAGTTAGCGTTAGCATTTTTCCCATAGAAATGAATGAGCGGTTCCCATAAAGATATGTTTACCCGACGTGTGTGTGTGTGTGTGTGTGTGTGTTTGCTTGCTTGCCTGCCTGCGTGTCGCCTATCCGGTGGCAAGGTTGAATTCTGTGGCATTCTGTTGTGACTTTCACATCGTAATTAGCTCAGCTCTCTCCAGTGTCCCAGGTATTACTATATGTTCCCTTCTAATTTAATTCCCTACCCCCACCCATGTGAAACCCTGGGCCCAGAAATAATATCTCCACCCACCTCCAACATCATTCCCAGAGCTGGGAATATGCAATTAAAATTGTCACGGCTTCATACTTCATCACCTTGTACCACTTTAAAAACAAAAGTCTTTTCCTGTAGCACGTAAAGCCGAAAGCTTCGTAACACTCAGCAGATCTGCTTCTTCATTCAGGTGAGGGTGTTTTCAAGAGAGGCCCCCTCTCCCCCCAACAGACCAACAGGCCGGGGGCAGGAAGCCAACTCTCTCTAACACCCAATCCTCGTCCAAGACCGCTGGCAGACCTTCAGATCGGCCAGCTGGATGCGGTGTACTTGTGTTGTGTTTTTTTATTTTTACGCATTGGGTATTATTTCTCGAACACGAATGCCTGTGATGGACGAGGTTGTCGACCTCCCCCGCTTCTGCCTTGCTCATATTCCCCTTTTTTGCCCTGTTAGACATACAAAGTATCCTGTATCAATTTACGGGTGGCTTTCGGAATCCGGCTGATTCCCGCAGTGCTGTGAGAAAAAACACGAACCCGTCTGTCCTTCATCTAACGGATCTGCGCCCGTAGCTCAACAAGTATAGCTCTTGCGCCGATGTCGCAAGGGTTGTGGGTTCAGATCCCAGGGGGCAAATGTAAATTGTAACCCTTCCCTCGGCTGTAAGTCGCTTTGGATAAAAGTGTCAGATAAATGAGTAACTGTGTGATGTAAATGGATGGGGGTGGGGGTGCAGTCAGTAGATAAGCGGGTGAATTCACTGAGATGGATTCAGGGTCCTTTTCGTCACGCACGCATCAGACGGATTAGATTCCTCGCCCGGCAGCGAGATGCATTTATTTATGGCCCTGAGTAGAGAAACTGAACCGCGACAAAAGTTAAGCGTGATAAATGAAGGCTCCTCCCTCCTCGCAGATCCGTCCTCATTAGACGTCCTGTTTAACTGTCTGCCTCTGAATGGGAGCTTTGCTATTAATGGTCCTGAGTGGGATTTGGTTGCTGGTGTTTGTAGGAAGCGGTTGTTTAAGGGAGCTCTTTGGAGACTGAGGTGATTCCTTCAGGACGGTGAGGAATTATATTCCCGTTTATTTATTTGCCAGGCACTTTCCAACAAAGCAATGTAAAAAAAAAAGTTAAAAATGATGTACAGCTGAGCTGGGTAGGTGAGAAGCTCAGGTAGGAGGGCTGTTAGGCTGGACTGTCAGCGCTCCACTGTAAACGAGGGCAGGATGTGCATTTGGAGAAGAGCTATACGGACGCTGCTCGGAGGCTGCGCTCTGGAAAATCTTTATGCACAAATATCGCCCAAGAGAGAACCCAGCGAGAGACCAAGTCTAAGTGCAATCACCAAAAAAACGCAGAAGAGCGCCTCCTAGTGGCCAGCGGAAAGTGCGTCGATGTTGGAGAGCTTTTTCAGGAAGACGTAAGTAGACAATTTTAGCAAACTGCACCATGTCAGGTGGTCCAAGAGGGTTTAAGACGACCTGTATAGCTCTATGAAGTTGAATTCCTATTTCTGATGATTTTTTTTAAACAAAAAGTTAATTTTCTCTCTCTCTCTCTCTCTCTCTCTCTCTCTCTCTCTCTCTCTCTCTCACACACACACACACACACACACACACACACACATGCAAACAGGCCCGCGGTTGTAGTTAATACTCTGTCAGGCCTGCTTGTCAGCGTGCTGCCACACAGTCAAACTGCCCTTTTCAAAATACCCCCACCCTAGCCACTCTGCACCTTTATTGCAGGACCCAACCGGTCCATTTCAGCCAGAGCCACGTGTTCTGTATGAGTGGAGATTCCCGGGACGGCCCGGAATCAGTGGTGGCATGAGCTTGTGGCCACAGGAGAAGTAAGCGAGGCGTGCTGCCACCCGTCCGGTCGTGACGGCGGCGGGACGTGTCGGTCAGGCTCAGAAAGACCCAGGTTATCTATAGCGGTGCCAGACATCGCTCAAGGAAAAACTAAATTAAATGGTTCTGTGCGTCGTAACCCGCGGTGACTCTGACACTCATTGTTCCCGCGTCGTAAATAGCGCTTCCTTCTTGACGCTCGCGTTTGTTTTAGTTTGGTGGTTTTTAAATGAGCCGCGCGGCCGTCAGAGCTGTCTCCGGTGCCCACCGTAATGCCGAGCCAGAGCCCCTGCGGCCCGACGGGGATTTATCACCGTGAAGGGCTTCCCTTGCCCATCCGCATGCCCTCTGGCCCTCTGGCTCTCTCCCTCTAATGCCATCGTTATTGGTTGAGTAGCCATCCTGCATTAAACGCTACACGCAGCGCCGCACGCGCGCCCCCTAATTGTTCCTGCGCCGTCGTTTTCCTCGCGTTGCCCTGCTTCTTATCGCTTTAATTAAGAGAGCCGCCCATCCGTGTCGCGGCTGCCACGCTGATGCCATGTTGCCCGGCCCCCAGTGCCAGGCAGAGCTGGGGCCCGCCTCCACGGGCCACCCCTTGTGTCACGTGTGGGTTTGAAGTGCCCCCCTCCAAAGGTTTTCCGATTTCCTGGCACGTCATACATAAAGGTGACCACGCTTGCCGTGCAAGAAGTACCACGTCTGCGAGTCTGGGCCCGTGGATCCGGGCCTCCTTCAAGTAGAAAGCGGGGCAAACTCTGAATACGCCATTAGTGTTGTTAACACTCGTCCAGTTTATCAGTGTCCCCCCCCCCCCCCCCCCCCCACCCCGAAAACCCCCCATTACCACAGCCTATCAGTGTGGAACAGTGCTCTGTGAAGAAATTCCCAATATCTAAATTTACACACTGTATCAATCTTGTTTAATAGACTGGAAAGCTTATTGGGCGGCTGCAGAGCAGCCAGTGAGGGCAGCGGTGATGAATTACTCCGTCGCCACGACAGCAGCCCGTGATGTATAATGAAATATTTATGATTTATCCCGGCTAATAAACTGAAATGAAGTGCGTGATGTATGGCAGCAGATGGGCACTGTATTGACGAGGAGCTCCTCCACAGAGGGAGAGAGAGAGAGAGAGGGAGGCAAGAGAGGAGAGGGTGAAGGTGTGAATGGACGAGTGGATCGACAGAGGGCTGATGGGGCAGTAAAGCGGGGGAGTATGAAAATTTTAATTATTTCGTGATTTAAGCTTGTGGCCACCTGGGTTACCACTGTCCCGCTGTTTGCCTCGACGTTTCCGTGGCATGTTTGTGCTGGTTATTTACCCCCCACCTGCTTTTTTTTGGCCCTGGGAGTCATGGTGCGGCAGCGACTCAGCTGCGAGGAATCACCTTCTCCTGGGCAACAGCTGGGCTGGAGAGCATCCGCTGTGCTTGCACGCACCCGTTATAATGCCCTCGGGTCACCTATGCCCCCCGCCACGCTGCAGGGAGACCCCAGGAGGCCACCCTGAGAGCCTTGAGCGTGCGCTGTCCTGCAATCCTGCTGTCCTGCAATCCTGCTGTCCTGCTGTCTGTCCTGCTGTCTGTCCTGCTGTCTGTCCTGCTGTCTGTCCTGCTCCTGTTGTGGCGGCAGTCCGGTGTCTACTCGGCGTCCAGCCCCTTCTCTGGAGAAGACGGCGAATGTGTTATGAAACGGTTAAATTGTGTGAGTGCGTGCATGTGTTCGCGTGTTGGGCCCACTGGAGGAGCGGCATGCACCTGGGGGGGTGGGGGTGGCCCCAGAGTGGGACGTGGGGGTAGTCATTAGCGTGAGCTCCAGCTGAGCAACCCCCTTGGCAGCTGGGATTGTGGGAAGCGGAGAGCCAGGTGGCCCTGGACACTGCTGCGGGAACACAGCCCCCTCCCGTCGGCATTGCTTTGCCAGTGTGGCCCCCATCAGCAAACCGTCTGATGTGACATCTGATCTGATGCTGTCAAGGGGCAGGCCCACATGGGGTTTTGGCCCTAGCTGTAAGCTGATTGGCCGTTGGAGTGCCCCTCTCCTGTCACTCAACAACTCAGAACATAGCATTGGCTAATGAAAAGGCTGGCTCCTCTGTATGAATTATAGCCTCTCTTATGCCCCCCCCCAAGCTATCAGAATCACCCCTGATGTTGTCTGTTAGGTGTCAAAGTGGGGCTGTTGCCAGGTGGTTGTTGTGTAACCTCTTCTTTAATTCTGCTTTGATGCTTCAAGTGCAGCTTGTTAATGGAGACATTGTAACATCGGTGTACATTCCAGGCCCAAGCTGTCCGTTCCTTTGTCTTCCTGCAGGGGACACGGCAGTTTACAGGGATGGGTTGTACTGGATCATGGGGCGAACATCGGTGGACATCATCAAGAGTGGCGGGTACAAGATCAGTGCCCTTGAAGTAGAGCGCCACTTGCTGGCTCACCCTGATATTACAGGTAAGGAGTCTGGGATGGCTGTTCCTCTGGTGAATCGGCAAAACCAAAACTGGAAATGTGCTTCACATCCATTGGTTTCCCTCAGATGTGGCTGTTATTGGGGTGCGAGACGCCACCTGGGGCCAAAGAGTGACAGCTGTGGTGCAGTTGAAGCAAGGGAAGAGCCTCACTCTGGAGGAGCTTAAGGCCTGGGCCAGGTATGATTGTAGTTCCGGGTCACTGTTGTATGTGGTGCTGACCCCTAGTGGTGGGAGTGCAAATAACCGTAACCAGCGACGTTGTTTACACTCCTAGTCATGTCATAATGTCAGGCGATTTGTGGGTTCATTATTTTTTATATGAAGCTCCACAAGACTTAAGGGAAATCGTAGGAAGGATGAGTGGAGCAACATTGGAGATGGGAAGAGGGGGAGTGAGTGTGTGTGGGGGGGGGAGGGTTACTCGGTAACCCAGGAGGCATAGTTCAGGCCCCCGTCCATGTGGCCGGCGCTGCTATTTTTAAACGTCACTCACATTCGCTGTGTCCATGCTGTGTCACATGCAGACCATGTCAGGGAGCTCATGTCTCCGCAGGCAGCCGCTCTCTCTATCCCTGGCGAAAGCATTGGCGTGTGCACCGGCCAAAGCAATGGCAGGCCACACGTGTAGCTGCGTGTGCTGTTACACATACCTTCAGATGTGTTTAGGGATACGCTGTGGGCCTCCATCTTGTTTGTGTCAGGGGGCGTGTCCAGGGGCGGGCCCACAGGGGGCACTGGCCTCAGCTGAAAGCTGATTTGACCCCTCAACTGCCCCTTCTCTGTCACTCACTGATTCAAAACATATCATTGGCTATCGATAAGGCCGGCCCCTCAATAAGAATTATGGCCACGGACAGCGGTCGATCATCCCGCGAGGCATCTGTGCCAGCGACTTGCCACCCTGGGATGAGCAGAGTGGGAGTTGGGGGGGGGGGGGGGGCAGTGGGGGGTGTTTAACTCCTCGATGCTCACTCATCGGTGAGGACCGGAGAGATAACTGTCAGTCTGCATATCTGTCAGACAGCCCCACGCCCCTCTGACGAGAAGGGAAACAAACGGAGCTGCCTTGTTTACGTTCAGACCCACATAGCTGACTGGGGAGAGGGAGGGGGGAGGGGGAGAGAGAGAGAGAGAGAGAGACAGGCGGGAGGGTGAGTGAGCGAGACAGCCAGAGAGTCAGACACAGAACCCTGACTTGTGTTTGTAATAATACATTTAAAAAGAGAAGGCGGGCGTTTAATGACGGCTCGTCACTCCACGTTTTAAGGCCCCTTATTAGCCTCTCGTGTTACTGTTTGTGCGTTCGGCGCTGATTAGAGGAAATGGCCTCCCATGTAGATGCTTTGCATGGACGGCATGAGGCGTTCATTTATCGCACATGGGCCGCCGGCATGGGGACCCGTGACTGTGCACGCTCTCCTTCCAGAGAGAAGATGACCGCCTACACCATCCCCACCGGCCTGCTCCTGGTGGACGAGATGCCCAGGAACCAGATGGGAAAGGTCAACAAGAAGGATTTGATCAAGCGGTTCTTCCCCGCTTAGGACCGCCGGGTCCTCTGTCACTTCCTGTTAGCTGGACGGGGGGGGGGGCTGTGGGCCCTGAACCTGACTAAGGGGCATTT